CACAGCATGTGTGTGGAGGTCAGAGATAACTTTGGGGAATTGGTTCCCTCCTAAAACCATGTGGGATCTCGAAATCAAACTCAGGTCGTCAGGTTTGGCAGCAAGTACCTTTATCTATCAAACAATCTTGTCAGACCCCCTTAGTTATTTCTTTAAAGGCGTTGTCTCTAGATGAAGTTATATTTGGGGTGGCAGGGTTACTGGGATCTCACTGTGGCCTGTCCTCCACTCTCCGGTCCGTGTGTTCTCCATCAAAATGATTCAGACAAGAGTACAATGTAGAAGAGAAGTGGAGCTTATTACAGAATAACAGGAGGTACTCCCAAGGGTGAGAGTGGGCAAAGACCAAAGGGACCAGTGTGGAGGAAACCATTCTCACGGGGTGGGGGGGACAGTGGACAATGGCCAGAGAGACCATTGTGTCACCCGACATGATAGGTGGGCTCTGGAGTATTTTCTAAAGCCTCTGAATTAGATAGCTTTCCCAGAGGGCATTTTCTTGCTCAGATGATTGACAGGTCCATTTGGATGAAGGAAGACAGTGCTGTTTTCCTTCTTTCCTAGAGAGACTCCTGCTAGATAGTGACCTTAGCAAAATTTCCCTGGCAGTTCAGAAGTCATGTTTCCACCCAGGGCAAAGATGCAACTCACATCCCATTATTTGACCAAAAACCACAAGATAGAGCAGATTAAAAAGAATGGGAGAGAGAGAGAGAGAGAGAGAGAGAGAGAGAGAGAGAGAGAGAGAGAGAGAGAGAGAGAACAAAAATAAATCTACACGTTTGGCCGTGCTTACCAGGGGGAAATAGCCTTAACGGGTCTCAGCAAAGCCCTGCTGCCTCCACCTCCTTCCTTTTGTCTAGTCTATAGCTATCCTTTCATGTGGTGGTCTAAATTCTAAAGAGGAGCAGTTGTGATGTTTCCCCTTCTCAACATCACTTCATACACAGAGACACGGAAGATGGGGTCCAGAGCTAATGATGAAGTCCATTCTCAATGACTGTCCTTCAAACCTGACTAGCTACCAAATGCTGGGGGCTTAGGACTTCACAGCAGGTGTTTGGAGGGCGTGCTAGTTTCTCACTGAGGTGACAGAACGGCAGTACTGTCTGGCTCATAGTCTGAGAGCACAGTCCATCGTGGCGGAGAAGCCGTGGTGGCAGGTGTATGAGGCAGCTGGTCACATTCCATCCACAGTCGGGAAGCAGACAGAGATGCTCACACCTAACTTGCTTTTGTCAGTGACTGAGTCTGGGATCCAGTTCATGGGATGGTGCCACCTACATTCAGCACAGTGAGACCCATGGCTTTGTATGCTAACTTAAAACATTCATTTTAAAAACTGGGTGGTGTTGGCACACAGCTTTAATCCCAGCACTCAGGAGACAGAGGCAGGAGGATCTCTATGTTCGAGGCCAGACTGTCTACAGAGTAGACAGTAAAAAAATATAAAAAGAAAAGAAAAAAAGAATGTGGTCAAAATACATGATACCCATGAACAAAAACGTAAAATCCTTGCTTTGCATGATGAATATATACCTGCACACTTCTATCTATCTATCTATCTATCTATCTATCTATCTATCTATCTATCTATCTATCTATCTATTGTTCTTTTCAAAACAGGGTTTCTCTGTGTAGCCTCACTGTCCTAGAACCCCCTCTGTAGACCAGGCAGGTCTCAGAGATCTGCCTCTGTCTCCCAAGTGCTGGGATTAAAGGAGTGCACCACCACTGGCTGTATTTCTTTTTAAGACAGAAAGACTTTAAAACAAAAGAAAATCAAAGGCTTCCCCAAGATGGCAGGTTAAGACAGGGACAGGGTATCTGCTGATCTTCAAGCTCAGGGAGCAGTAAAGTTAGAAGAGAAAGGCTGCAGGGTCAGGTCGTAGTGTTCCCAATAAGAAAATAGAACCGAGGAAGTCAAAATGGACAAATAGGAGGTGGGTGGCCCCTGGGTGTGTGTGACAGTTCAGCTGGTTGTGAAGTGGGCCAGCCCTAGAGGGTGTCGCTGCTAGTCTGGCTTTCCACTCCCTCTGCTTCCCCTTCCTTTTCTCTCACTAACAGTGTACTGGGGCAGTGGTTCTCGACCTTCCTGATGCTGCGACCCTTTAGTACTGTTTCTCTTGTTGTAGTGACCCCCAACCATGAAATTATTTCGTTGCTACTTCAAAACCGTAATTTTGCTACTGTTGTTAATCATGATGTACATATCTGATATGCAGGCTATCTGACATGTGACCCCGGGGGTCACGACCCACAGGTTGAGGAGCACTGCTGAAGCTGAAGGCTTTCATCTGCCTGCTAGAGCACTAGGACCCAGTCCTTCCTCAGACACTGTTTTCCAGGAAATCCAGACTAAGATGATGTCTTATTCACTAGGGAAGCTTTGGTCTGAATAAGAGAAGTGGCCATGTATTTACATGACAGAAAGAGGCAATGCTACTGTATATGTATATGTATATGTATATGTATATGTATATGTATATGTATATGTATATATGCATATATAGCTTTTTCAAGACAGGGTTTCTCTGTGTAGCACTAGCTGTCCTGGAACTCACTCTGTAGACAGTCTGGCCTCGAACATAGAGATCCTCCTGCCTCTGCCTCCTGAGTGCTGGGATTATAGCTGTGTGCCACCACCACCCAGTTTTTAAAATGAATTTTTTAAGTTAGCATACAAAGGCATGGGTCTCACTGTGCTGTTTTCACAAGGATTTTGGTTTCACGGTCACCCCCAACCACCTTCCCTGCCTTTTCTCAATGGCCTTCCTCCTTCTCCGGCTAGTCCCTGTCTGTCTTCATATCACATCTATTCTATCTCCTTATCTTTCTCCCGCTCCTCCTTCTTTACCCCACCACGCTTTCCTTGAAAGAACGGGCCTGCTCATTGACCACATGTGACAAAGTTCACCTGACTATCACCTTGATGCAAGCTTTCTGATGTTTTGAGGGGCAGGAAATCTGTGCTTCCACACTCTAGAGAGATAGGAGTATTCAAGAATTAAGATGAGAAATTGAAATCTCTGGGAAGCCTCAGAAATTTCTCAAGTCATAACTTTTCCTGGCTTCCCAGCATCCCACATACTTATTAATTCAAAGGTCACAATGAGTGGGTATAAAATAGTAAATTGTCATATGCTGTGATGATTCAAATACCCAAATGCTTTTTTTTTTGCATCGAAAATAATTCATGCCATGTAATAAATACCTGGCTTATATTAACTTAATATTAACATACATATTTGATAGTAAAAATGCTGGAAGAACAAACCATTAGTACTAAATAAATGCCAAACAATCATTGTGAAATGTGAAAGATAACATAAATCCTCAGAGATTAGAAGTTGCCATTCTGAAATCTGAAACGGACATTCAAATTTTTTCTTATGTCTATTTGTGTGTGTGTGTGTGTGTGTGTGTGTGTGTGTGTGTACATCCATGCACACACAACACAGTGCTCTTATGAAGGTCAGAGGACAACTTGTGAAAATCTGTTCTCTCCTTCTACTATGTATGTCCCAGGGATTGAATTCAGGTCATCAGGCTTGGTGGTAAGCACCTTTACCCATGGAGCCATCTTTCCAGCCCTTAAATGGACTTACTAGAGCACATTGAACATAAATTACCCTGCCCAGTCATTGGGATCTTTGTTTCATGACGGGTATTTTGGATGTAGAAACTTCATTTTGTGTTGGCTTTGGTGGAGTTGTTAAGGCTGCATCCAACATTATTTTCAAGTTAGAGTTCAAACTACCATAGCTGAGTGTCTCTCTGTAACTCTCCCCTCTGGCTTCCAGCATGTTAGGCAATGCATCACCATTGAGCCATAGTTCCAGCCCCTCGTTTCTCCTGTTAAAGATACAAACATTTCATTTGCTTTCTTCAGCCTTGCTCTCACGTGGATTGTTCTTTGCTGACAGAATTTTGTGTCAGTTTCTGGTCTCGGCTGGAAGCACATCGTGACATTCCACATCTCATTCATTTTGCCCTTTTTTTTTTGTTGTTCTAGTAAAATATTTATAAGAAACTACAATCTCTAGAGCATGTGCACACAGGGGGAATGGGTGCAGTGTTGGGTCTCATTATAGCGAGTTTAATAACACCAAACAGATGTAACTTAAGGACTTACTTTGATTTTAGAGCTTGCTCTTTCCTTTAGTTTTGAGATGGGACTCCAGCACTTTAAGTTATTAGGAGAAATCTTTGATGATCATGAAAGGCTGTCAAATATGTGGTGACCCTCGACTGATATTTTGATATACAATTTTCACCAGTTGTTGCCTACCAGGGGTTATGCCAAACAGTTTCCCAGGGTCTTTTATGTTTAGATTCTTTGTTGTAAGATCTGCTTCGGATGATATGGCATCTGACCATATTAGATCTGTTAGCAGACACTGGGAGTGGTGTGATAGGCCAGTAAATCTATTACCCAGGAGGCAGAGGCACGAGGACCATGAGTTTGAGGCCAGCTTGGGCTACATAACCAGATCCTGTCTGAAAAAAACAGAGTAGGTGATTGGGTTCTGGGGACATGGCATAGTCAATCAGTGCTTTCTCTGTAAGCATGAGGTCTTGCTTGAGTTTGGATCTAGAACATCTGCATAAAAACTGGGGTGTAGTGGCCTGTACCTGTAATCCCAGTGCTGGGGAGCCAGAGAGGAGGCTCTCTAGGGCTTGCTGTTCAGCCAGCCTGGCAGAAGTGGTGGGCTCCAGGTTCGCTGAGAGACTCACTGAACAAACAAAGTGGAGAAGGGCCCAGGAAAGATACCAGTGTCAACCTCTGGCCTTCACATACATGTGCACATGTATGCTCGCATACCCAAACACACACATGACCACACATACACACATACACACATATACATATACATACAGAGGAAAAAAAAAAGGTGTTCCAGAATATGCTGTGCAGACTGTAAGGGAAAGGGTGGTGAATGATCTCCTGCTTGATGGTCTGGTAGACTCATACAAGGCCACGGTTGGGAAGCCATGTGGAAAGCTTTCTTGTGGTTTAATTTCCATAAGATGTTTCTCATAAGGCGCCCATCAACATGTGACTCCTTTCTGTTAACCCTGCAGGCTTCATCACACTGAGGAGCAGTTTGACCTGCGATAAGCCGGGGCTTTCAATGGCGGGTGACTTAAGCATTTGTATTCCTGTTACCAGGGGCAAGTAGATGACCGAAGAACTGAAGAAACCTCCTGCCACTGACGGCATAAGGAACCCACATCTGCAAGAAGGCATGAGAGAGTAAGTAGTTAAGGCCCAGGAGGCAGTGGGTGGCTGCTTTAACTCTTGCTTTAGTGAGGAAAGGGGGCAAGAGTGGAGGGAGGGATGTAAGACAGGGCGCAACCATCAAGCCTTCTTTGGGATGAGAGAGCTGCAGGTTGCACTTGGAACCAGAGACCATCATGTTACCAGAAGACACACAGGACTGTACAGAAAATGGGCTGGCAATAGCCCTTCCACATCGGAAGGCAATTACCTCCCCAGCACTTCCTACTTTCTTGGATTTGTGAAGGACAAGTGGCAGAAATCATGAGAACAATAATAATAATATAAAAATGCTGTTAATGTGTTTGAGGCTCAAGGTAGAGAGAACGAATTCTGAGCTGTTACGGAGAGTGGCTGGAGGACTTTGAAACCAAAAAGCAAATGACCATGTGGGACCCGCAGGGAAAGAAGGCAGTGAAATCACTTCTGTCCACCCAGTTGCCCAAGCTAGACCTGGAGAGACTGCCTCTGGCTCCTGTTTCCTCCTCTTTCCTCCAAATGGGCTCTGGCAACCAGTGGTATTTAGCGGGCATGTCAGGTTTCCAGAAAGTAGCTTCAGGCTGAACTGGGTTGGGGGGTGCTGTACAATGGGTGTATAGTTTCTGTAAAAGTATACATAGCCTGGTGTTTATGGGCTGGGTACAGTGGCTCAGTGGCAGTTGTGACTCGTGCGGGCGTCAGTGAGAACCTAGGAGCTTTTTGAGACAGTTCTGTGATGTTGCGCTCATGGATTTTGAAGACTGTCCAGTTGACTCTGGGAGATTATTTATTAGCAGGTGCTATCTACTTTTGGGGTCAGCAGCTCCTCCTTCCTTTGTGACGAGTTCTCATCCAACAACTTCTGTTAATTCTTGTTGTTGTTTTTATTTTTTTGAGACAGGATCTCACTGTGTAGCCCTGGCTGGCCTGGAACTCAGTATGTAGATAGACTAGGCTGGCTTTGAATTTAGAGATCTGCCTGCCCCTGCCTTCTAAGTGCTGAGATTAAAGGTGTGACCACTATTCCTGGCCTCTTAATTGGTGTGTGTGTGTGTGTGTGTGTGTGTGTGTGTGTGTGTGTGTGTGTGTGGTCTTGCTGGCCAGGGAACTCTGAGGATCTGCCCATCTCTGCCTCCTAACACTGGGATTGTGGATACACTACCCACCTGACTTTTTATGTGGGGCTGGGGCTCTGAACTTAGGGCCTCATGCTTGTGAATCAAGCACTCTACGGACTAAGCTGTGTCCCCAGCTCTAGACCCTCTTAAACTTTCAAGAGCAGAGTGCAGTGTTGTGAATGATAAGTCCCAAGCCACACACTCCTCCACAGCCTTTCTATCTTTACTCCCTCTGTGCAGCAGCCCCTCCTCCCTTGTCCCTAGCCCGGCCACCATCCTTTCCTTTTACATTTTTGGGTTGTTCTTTTCTTGTCCTTGATGGTCTCTTCTATCCCAAGAGCCTGTTGTACCTTCTTGTCCTTGCTTGTCTTCTTCCTGAACATACTCTTTCCAGGTGCCCTGACAGTACCCACAACATGATTCTGAAGCCACCAGAGGGTTCACCAATTCAGCATTGCTTAAATATGGGTGATTTTTTTTTTTAACAGACTGCTACACATCATTGGAGGAAAATAGTCCTATGCAAGAACATTTATCGACACAGAAAGATGTCACTGGTACTGCTCAGTCAATAAACCATGTTGTAATGTTGCATGGATAATGTGATTCTGTTTGTACAAAAATAGATAAATACACAATGTCATTTAAAGGAATGTTCACCAAAAATATTAGCAGTGTTTATCTCTGGGTGGTTGAATTATGTGTGATTTAAGTATTATTTTTGCTTGTCAGCAATTTCTAGTTTTTCTACAAGGAACAGATATTGCTAGCATAATGAAAAAAGAAATATACATCATGAGAAAAAAATTCTCTTAGGATATGAATCCTAGTCAGCCAGTTGACTGTAAAACTGCAATAAATATCCAAGCAATTTCTCTCCCGCATTGTCAGCTCCGCTGAGGGGAAGGGGCTCTTCTTGGTTACTGGCTGGTTCTTCTTCAAGATATGCTTACAATTTTTGTTAACACAAGCCCCCTCCCTCTGCTTTCTGGAGACTTACTCTATGGAGCAGTAATTAATAGACTAGTAATGACCAAGTCATCAGCATGGCATTATTTCATTTCTGCAACTATCATAAGGACTGACCTTGCTGTGTGCCACTGGGACACTCTGGAATGTCGTTAGCCCAGGAGAATGCAAGAGACACTGAAGCCTGAGTCGGGCCATGAGCTAGTCTAACAGGTACCAGAGTGTATCATCTGGATGAGTGCTTTTTGAGCCTAGGCTGGCCTCAAACTTGATATGTAGCTGAGGATGTCCTAGAACTTCTGATCCTCCTGTCTTCACCTCTGGAGTGCTTGGCATGACAGGTGTGCACCTCTACACGCAGTTTCTATGGTCCCAGGGATGGAACCTGGCAGGGCTTCATGCATGCTAGGCAAGCACTCTACCAGCTGAGCCATGATTGGGGGTCTGGGGAATGAGTGTTGTTGAAGTTGTATGATCAATGGTGCTAGTGTTATTATTCATAACATTTTTGGGGCAGACTGGTTTAACTGAAAATGATGGTCATGATTTGTTGTGCATTGACCCCATGTAAATGCCACATATAACCTCGGTTTAATTCTTATAGGCGATTGTACTACTTACTTTTCTTGTGGCTGTGAGCAAACACTTGACAAGAAGGAAGGAGGGAAGGGCTTATCCTGGCCTGTGATTTGAAGGTGCAGTTCATCATGGTGAGTAAAGCTTGCAGCAGGGACCTCTCTTGGCTACGGTGACACCTGGAAGCAGACAAAAAGGAAATAGGGTAGGGCACTTTCCCAGTGACCCACTTCCTCTAGCAAGGCTCTGCCTCCTAAGATTCCACAACCTTAAACATTGCCAAACCAGCTGGGGACCAAGTGTTCCAACGCTTGAGCCTCTAGAGGAACATGGCATATTCAAATTACAACAGCACCCTATGAGATAGATAGGTGATGGTCTCATTGTATAAAGCAGAAGACAGGCTTAGAGAGGTCACTCAAGGTCAATGGCAAGGGGAGGAACAGGTTTCAGATCCTTTCTGTGTGGTTCCAAATCTGCTGACAACTCATACAGAAGAGTTATGTCCTTATAAGCATGGTTCATTGCATTATGTGGTAGTTTGAATAAAAACGGAACCCATAGGTCCATACATTTGAATGCTTAGTGTGCTGGATAGTTTTATATCCATTTGGCACAAGCTACAGTCTTCAGAGAGGAGGGAACCTCAAATTAAGAAAATGTCTCTGTAACATTGGGTTGTAGGTAGGTCTTTAAGGCATTTCTTAATTAGTGATTGATGAGGAAGGGTCCAGTCCATTGTGGATGGGGCTAACCCAGGGCTGTGGTCCTGGGTTCTACAAAAAAAACAGGCTGAGCAAGCCATGAGGAGCAAGCCAGTAAGCAGCACTCCTCCATGGCCTCTGCATCAGCCCCTGCCTCCAGGATCCTACCCTGTTTGAGTTCCTGTCCTGACTTCCTTTGATGATGAACAGTGATACGAAAGTATAAGTATAAATAAACCCTTTCCTCTTCAATTTGCTTTTTGGCCATGGTGCTTCATCACAGCAATAGAAACCTTAACTAAGGCACTAAGGTACCAGGGAGTGGAACTCTTTGACAGGATTAGAAGGTTTAGGGGGTATGGCATTGTTGGAGGAAGTGTATCACTTGGGGGTGGACTTTGAGGTTTTCAAAAGCCCACACCCCGTCCAGCATTTCTCTCTTTCTTTTTCTCAGTCTGTGGATCAAGATAAGAGTATTCTTAGCTACTGCTCTAGCGCCATGCATGCTGCCATGCCCTCTGCCATGATGATAATGGACTAAACCTCTGAAACAGTAAGCCAGCCCCCAATTAAATGCTTTCTTTTATAAGAGTTTCCTTAGACATGGTATCTCTGCACAGCAATAGAGCAGAGATTAAGACACACCAAAGCATTAATGCTCAGTTCAGTCACCTGTTTCAAAGGTGAGAAGTTGCCACTAGAGGCAGTGATGGAGAGACTGTTCCTTGGTCCTGCTCTGAAGACCTGCATCTTCAAAGAGGCATCCCCGAAATGAATATGCATCAGCTACTGAGTAGCCTTCCATAGGCTCTCTAGGGAGAACATCATCCAGAGCTGAGAGTGTACACATGTGTGAGATTTTCAAAGAACTGGAAACAACAACAACCACAAGAAACGATTCTAAGTATTTTGTGGGGACAATGTCATTTTCTTTAAAATTCTATCGCTTGGAGAATCTGAAAAGGAATTCCTTAAAAACCCTTGACTTTTTCATATGTTTTCATCCCCCAAAAAATAAAATATGAGGTAATGCATATACTAATTAGCTTGATTTAGCTATTCTACAATGTTTACATATTTCAAAACATCATGCCATACATAACACATATAATGATTATTGTCAATTAAAACAAAAGAATGTATGAATGAATTAGGTGGGAAATATCCTGATTTGAGTCAGAGAGATGGGGTTCTGTCCTTTACCATCCCTGTGACCCCAGTGTGTCACTGGAACTTCAGCGTCTCAACATCTCTGAAGGGGTTCTTCACCAACATCATTCTCTTGTTGGAGGGAGGGTTGAAGGATCAGGGCCCCAGCTCAGAAGGCTTTCTGCACACCTGGTCTATAGCATCATTCTTCACAGAACATGAGCTCCAAGAGTCTTCAGATTGTAAAGTACTTTTACTCTTCAAATGGCTGATTAACTCCCAGAGGGTAGTGTCTTTTAATGCGCGTCCCTTACGTGAAATGAGGTGCCAAGTTAACAATGCAGGAAAACAGAAGGCTCGTGTTTTTCCGCATAATAAACTGTGAAGGAGTGAGCAGGGCGAGCTCTGCAGCCTCTCTGTTAGAGCTAGTGCTGTAAAACATGGAACACATGCACAAAATCTTCTTTGAGCCATGGTGTTACTCTGGCTGACAAGAGCATGGAGAGGGTTATTCAGGGGTGTTCTTGAACTTGTCATTAAACTTTAAGACAGCTGGGGCTGCTCTGTTTAGTCCTCACATGTGAATCTTGTAGTTTGACAGACCCTGGGTATTAGGGATTCTACAATCCATAAGGCATGATGATTACAAAAGACCACCCACAATTCATGCCTGGGTCTTTGTTCTCAGTAGACAGTAGGCAACAGAAGTAGACTGCAGCAGGTTGTCACGGTACTGTGGGAGCATGGAGGGTCAACCCCACCACAAAAGAAGGCCTGGCATGGAAGTTGTCAACCTCAGTACAACCCCAGTGAAGCCAAGTTAAGGTATCCACAGGGCTTCCACAGGTGTCAACAGAATCTCTGTCACACTTGAGGTGGTAGTGGTGGCCTTGACACTCACAGAGCTTAGAGCTCTGAAACTCCAATATGCCTCCATCTTCATCTGGCCAACTCTTCCACATCATTAACCCAGGACACCATCAGCTATATTAGTCACAAGGCCCCCTGCACAGTTCCATTATGACCCCATCTTAACCAATTCAATCTGCAACAACTCTTCTTGCAAAGGTTACGTTTGAGGGTAGGATTTCCACGTATTGTTTTAGGAAACAAAAGTCAAGCCATGGTAGGTACTTTCGCATCTGAGTACTTTTGCTTTTAATGGCTTACATTTGCAGTGTGCTCTCCAAGGATATTTAAATCCTGTATTTGGAAGAATCCATCAGGCTGGTAAAAAAAAAAAACACAATAATGTCTGTGTTACAGTGTGTTATGAAGAGGGAGAAATGAGGTCTTTTAGGTACAGTCCTCTTTGGCACACAGTAGGTGTTCAACTCATGTTAGTTCTTGTGTGATTCTATTTTCTGTTGCCATAACAAAATACCAGAGTATGGATAATACTACGAAGAAAAAGGATTTATGGAGCTCACGGTTCGAAGGCTGAGAAGTCCAGATTGGGTGGTGGCTGTATTTATCCATCCCCTGGTGATGACTTCCTGGAGAAAGGACTAATAATGGCGGTGTAAAAAAGAGGGATCACGGGGTAAGACAGGAAGTCGGGGAGTTCTTTCATAACACCCCTTCTCACGGTGCCCCTGTGGGCACGCTATTCTCTTCTGAGGACAGAACTGACAATGGTCTGATTACTTGGCCTTAAGCCCCACCTCTTAAAGGTCCCCCCTCCTCCCATCATCGCTGTCCTGAGGACCAAACTTGCAGCATGTGAGTTCTCATGGGTACAAACCACACCCAGAGCAGCTACACATATCTTCCCTTTCGATAGGTGGAGTACGGCAGCCAGTCTTGGGAGCAACCCGGAGTTTGGCAGATGGAGGAGGAAGACGGGGTACATAGGGTTGTGTGTTCCTCAGAGAATCAACCTCCTCTTCTTAGGGGTTTGGAGAGCCACCCAATAGCTTCCTGCAACCTCAACAAATGTACTTCTACAGTCTAGGAAGCCAGTGAAGAAATTATAGGGAGCTTGGGTGGGAATTTCTGTCTTTCATGGGGAGGGGGTGGTCAGTTCTCTAAGCCTGTGCTATTGGGTCCTGTTGGGCCATGGTTGGAACATGGAAGTGGGAAGGCCTGTGATCCCACCTCATTGAAGTGAGATCCTGGGGGGCTCCTTGTCTGGCTCATCTTCTGAGATTCTTGGTGAGCTCTGTCTTCATGGCTGAGCTAGGACTTGGCATGCTCCACAAAAGCATGTTTTATCGCTCTTTTCTAATTTCCTCCCCCAGCCAGAAATAGGAGGAATCACTTAGAATTGTTGATGTTTGGTTAATTCATGATCCACTCTTAGACATTTGGAAGTAAAATGCTGTGACTCTTGTTGAAGGAACTTAAAGCATCCGCAAGCAAACAGGATGTCCTTTCTCTTCATTCAAGAGAACTGATGCTCTGAAATTCCTGGAGTCCCATCTGGTTCCAGCCTGTTGGGAGGTAGGCCTAGAAACAGTCGGGGAGGGATAGTAGCTGGGCTGTTTCACATGGCTATAACTGAATACCAAAGAGTGGCAATTTAGAATAAATGAAAATTTGCTGGCTCATGGTTCTAGAGGCTGGGAAGTCTGAGACCAAGTCAGCGGCACCAGGCAAGGCTTCATTATTGAGTTATTATACAGCGAAAGGGCAAGAGTAAGCCAAACAAATCCTGTTACAGTGCCATAACTTCTACCCTTCTGGAGGAGAGGCCATCACAGTCCACCAGGTACTATACTGGGATGCAGGGCATGGAGTCTTGACATTGCTCCACCCGTGAAGATCCTTGCACTCTGATCTGACTGGGGGACTAGGCAGTCCCATTCATTTCCAAAATATTGGGGAAATCATGGAAGGGAGTAGCCAGCTCTCTGACGTCTCCTTCCTAAGGATACTTAGGAAGGAGATCCTGTTCATTAGAGTTCTTCCTTATGATCTAGTCACATGTCCAAAGGTCTCATCTTTTAAAACCACCACCCCTGGGGGCAGGAGAGGGAGGGTTCCAAAGAATGAGGATTAGGGAACAGAGACCTTCATGTCATATGAACATTTGTACATGTATCTTGGAGTAACACATGTCTCCATTTCCGTTGGGGAAATGCAGGGAACTTCACCATGAGTATGCAGTGTGTGCAGCCATACAGGGCCCACCACTGATTTAGGTCACTATCTTGAAATCCTTAATAATGTCTGTAAAAAGGTCTCACATATGCATCTTCTGAGTACACATGTTCTCTAGTGTTGATGAAAAAAAAAAAAACCAAAACAACAACAACAAAAAACAACCCACAGCTCTCGCCTTAAAGGGAATCAGAGGTAGTTTATTTTGGATGCAAATTTGAATGACCAAGGCCCAGAAAACATGGAGCTAGGTTACCCCATGTTCCCACGGGGAGGCAGTTTCAGGAAAAGGTGCTTGCCACACAAAGCTAATGACTGAGTCTGACCTCTGGAACCCACGTTGTGTAAGGAAAAGACCCGACTACAAAGTTGTCCTGTGACCTCCACATGGGGACTGTGGCATGTATGTACACACATCCTAATGACAAAGTTTAACAACTACTATTTGAGTTCTAGAAAGTGCGCACTTGCTGTAGGCTGTTTTTCTCTTAATTGAAGTAAAAGGAGCACAGAGTTGAAGAAGGTAGCCTCTTTGCAGGTGTGCCTCCCACAGCAACTCAGCCAGCCTCAGACCATGTGCAGCGCTCTCTGTGGCAAAGCACATCCACCAGAACAAAGGCTTCCTGAAATCCTGCTATTTCACACCAGATCCTTTGCCCTTGTCTAGCACCTGGCTGCCTTGCTCTAGAAGGAAATTAGATCGATCTAAAAGGCTGTACTCTCCCAAAAGCTACCTTTGCTGTGGTCACAATGAGATTTTCTGAGTATTTCCATAAGGCAACCAAAATACAGTTTATGGAAGGAGCCATTTCTTCACGACAAAAGATGACTACTGCATCCTGTGATTTTTAAAAATGCCATAATAGAAATAATTCCACTTCTTAAGTGTTCCAATAAACACAACACTTTAACTTGTTCTTTTGGACACATTTTAAGTGCACCAAGATGATTCGAAATAACAATGAATGAGCGTCACTCAAATGTAGAGCTGAATAAAGAAAATGCTAAAATTCACCCAGTCAAGGAAAAAAAAAAAAAGCAAAGAGTCACTGATAGGTGGGGAAGGCACAGATGCTGCTTCCCACCCCTCTCCCATTCCCACCCCCCATCTACACACAGGTAGGGACGACTCCAATCAACCCATTAGAGGATTTTTAGGAATACTGACAAATCCGAGCCAGGTGTGCTGGCACACGCCTTTAATTCCAGCATGCAGGAGAGGTAGAGGCAGATGGATCTCTGTGAGTTTGAGGCCAGACTGGTCTGTTTGATAAGGTCCAGGCCAAACAGGGATGCATAATCAGACCCTGTCTCAAAAAAAAAAAAATTGACAAGTTCATTTCAAATCTATCAAGAATAGGGAAGAACAACCAAAGTCATGTTGAAAGACAATTTGTTAGTTGTCAAATAGTAAAAAACAAAACAAAAACAAAAACCTGTTTCTTGTTTACTTGTATGTGGGAATATGCATGCCACAGGATGCACATAGAGGTCAGAGGACATCTTGCAGGAATCCCTTCTCTCCTTCTGCCGTGTGGGCTCCAGAAACCAAACTCAGGTCGGCAGGCTTAGGGAGGGCAAACACTTTCAACTGTAGGGCCATCTCTCTGGCCCTAGTCTCAAATGTTTTATCATAAGAAATTGATCTTATCTGGAGCTGAGCACAATGGCTCACAACAGCACTTGGCTGATTAATGCAGGAGGACCAGAGTTCAAGGCCAGCCTGGACTATATAGCAAGTTGGTGGCCAGCTTGGGCTAGCTGAGATGCTGTTTTATAGAACAAAACAGACATGAATATGATCTTATTTGGGAAGTTTCTGGGTTTTTTTTTTTTTGTTTATCTTTCCATCTAAGGTTAGCTCAGAACATGTGTGTATTTGTGTGTGTGTGTGCGTGCATGTGTGGTGTGTAAAAGTGAACCACAACTGACCTGGTGGGCTAATATATCCACCCCCCCCCAGGTGGATGAATATATCATGAATATAGAGGAGATTCATGCCAATACTATTCTTATATGGATATCACTGCACCCTTTAGGACAGTCCCTACTGATTCCCTGAAAGTGACATAGAGCTTTTAATATTAATAGAGGGCTCATTCTCCTGCCATTAGCACATCCTGTATAATGCTAAGATGTTGTGCCTGGTTCTGTGAGCAGATGGATGTCAAGAGTATTTAAATGACAGAAAAATAAGTGTATTATTGAAATTTCAAGTAACAGACAGATTCAGTGAATCACTACAATGGCTTCCACAAGCATCCTTCATAATTTCTGGTCTCTCATTTTCATATTAACTGGAATGAATTCCTTCTAGAATGCAATAGGATGGAAGATGAGAGGGGACAAATGGAGTTATTGATGGAAGAGAAACAATCCTCTCACCCCATAAAGAATCAGGTAGCCTTTTAATTTAAAGGTCCAGCTGAAGAATCACGCTGTTATTTCCCCAGGGAGACGTTGAGTAGGATTTCCCTGTGGTTTGAGAGAGCCAGAAAAAGACAGAGGCACATTTTCTCACCTCCGCACCTGCAGGCTCCCCAGTCTCTTCTCATCTCCATCCCTAGTGCTGGCAGGGGCCAGGGCTCAGTGCTCTAGTCAAGGGTGAAGATGAGAAGTGACAGCCCGCTCAGGGTGAGGATGACAATTGCTCTGATTGGCTATGGGATGATCATGCAGCCAGACACACACGATGGCAATTCTTATTTTTAGAACTTTACATAGCATCCTTGTGACTCTGGATCTCCCCCCGCCCCCCAGCCTCCCGCGTGCCCCACTCCAGAGTCATTTCTAGGCTCTGCAGAAGATTCTCAGCTGTTCACCTGTCTGCTGAGCTGTCTGAATGCACTGGCTGTACAGGAGAGGGTGCCTTCCTTCCTTCTCAGTGTGGGCACTGCAGGGGTTGGGTCACCAACAAACACTTCCTTTTCCTAGAAAAATTGCCTTTGATCTGTTCCAAGTCTATACCTTCTGCCTTGACCCCCTGCAGTGTCTCAGGCCTGCACCTCCTGCCACCTGCGGTGAAGGAGCGCTGCCCCATGGGGACGCTGATGTGACTGCTTCCAGAACTAGACTCATTAACTCTGGCTCTTCATGCTTGTCTACCCAGCCTGTTGTCCTCCCGCAGAACAAAGTGCCTGGAAAATCCTCCCTCTTGGTCGATAGACCACAAATCTGGGAGTCATCTAAAATTCTATATTCTCTTTCTGGACTAGGACCGGGGCATGTTAGGCAAGCACTCTACCACTGAGCCACAGCACGAGTGTTATGTCAAGTCCTTTATGCCCAAGTTACAAAGACGTGCTATTCTGCTCAATTATCTCCACAGTCCCATCCCTGCTTCTTCACCTGGAACCCCCCCATAATGTCTGTTAACAACCTAGCGGGTTTTCTAAGTCTTCTGAACATCCTTTCATCCTTTCAACACAGTGTCTGTGCTGCTTCGGAAAACACAAACAGCCGTGGCACGAGATCACTGTCCTAGCTTACCGTCACTCAGTGACTCCATTACTAGTGGGGCAGCCTCGGGACACGCCAGTCACACACAACCCCTGGAGGAGGCCTCTGCCTAATGGTTGTTGTTTCTAACCTCACTCCGTAGCCCACTGCCAATCCTCCTGCCTCTGCTTCCCAGGCGCTGGGGTTACAGGCGCGTGCCAGCCTCTGGCCCCGCCTAACCAGATGGGATCTCAGATGCAGAGATCCAAGGCCAGGCCCCAGGTGGAGCTCCAGGAGTCCAGTTGGCAAGAAAGAGGAGAGTTTGTACGAGTGAGAATTGTTGAGACCAAGGTTGGATAAAGCACAGGGACAAATAGCCAAACGATAGCCGCTGCTTAGCCGCTCCTCCTTCTTACCTGCGGAGTGTCCTGCAGCTGCCTCTTGCTTCATTATTATCCTTTACCCTTCCGCTTGCCTTGTGAAACGAACTGGCCTCTTCCTGTCCCGGGCTGTGCAAGTCTGTCAGTTCTTGTGAAATGACCTCATACTTCAAGCCTCTCAGAGCCTCCTCAGGCCTCTCCAGGCAGGAGTGACCTCTTCCCTCTCTGGGAGGTAACACTCCATTCTGTAGGGGTGAAGGTAGAGCCTGAGTGGCTATGGCCTGGCAAGCAGACTCCGTGACCCCTTTCTTGTCCTCTCTCCTCCGAGAGCTTGGAGGAGAAACCTTTGGCTAAGTTAGGGAGGGCTGCACCTGGGACCTTGTTTACCAACACAGTCCTTGGTCTCCCAGTCACGACTCAGCTCAGAGGCATCACCATGACCTTGAGGGTTAAGCATTACACAAAGATGTGAGTATTCTTGGCTTCGTGGAAGGTGGGGTGTCAATGTGTACAGGGCCTTTGCAGTTCCGTTGTCTTGCGCGCTGTTTCTAAAAGAGCAATTCTGTTTTGGTGTACACTGCCTGTTCCCGAGGGGAGCCAGCTGTAGGGGTTGAGTATAGGGTGGAAGAGATGTAGCTGGTAGATTTTCCGTCTCTACTGCGGCACATCTAGTCTCACACTCACTGAGGTGCTTTTGTGATTTGGCCTGTGTTTCCTGAGGGCACAGGTCTCCTCAGAATGGTTTTTTATAACTGTAACATCTAGGCACTCTCCTGGTATGTTAAAGACCATTCAATATCAGTTGCCTTCTTTCATGAATAGAATACACTCTCCTCCCATTTCCAATAGTCTCTACCCTGTTGTTCTTATTTTAAGGTGTACTTGGTGTTAGAACCATTAAGATTGCTCTTGGAATTTTCATACCTATGCATTCCTTGGGTACCAGCTCATCAAAACACACCCCTGTAAGGGATGGCCAGGAAAGGACGGAGTTCATATTCACTGGGCATGTCTGCTGAGTAGATGATGTAGTTACAAGTGGGAGCCACCAGATGGCTGAAGGAAGTGAATTTATCTCCAGCTGAGAGACAGCTTAGAAATCTGGGACTTTAAAAAGCAGCCATCGGAGAACAATCAAAGGCTTCTCTTTAACGAACCCCAAATAACCAACGGCAGCCCCTCACTACCACCTGACATCCTTGATGGGTTTGGACAGATTTTGCAGTGAAAGCACCATCTTTCTTTTTTTTTTTTTTTTAACCTTCTAATGTCTCCACGCTTTAAGAATTACAGAGTAATCACTGAAACTCAATTTAATTCCACAAATATTTGTCGAGTGCTTAAGTCTCAATTAAACCTTCTGAGCGGCCTGTGGAAGCATATGCCACCCAAAGCACAGCTTGCTAGACGTGGAAAAATGTACGGAGGACTCACGGCAAAGATGGATTCTTCTCCCTTTGTGTTTGTGAGCTAAGGTCACCATTTCAAGGAGAAGCGCTGGTGGAAAGACAATGGCGGCCTAGAAAATATCTGTGTATGATAATTGGTAGGTGATGAAAGTAAAATAAAGCGAAAGCTGTGAGCGGCTGCCGTATTTATAAACTAAGGCGTGTTTTATCTTGCATTTGCATATCAAAACCAGGGTTGAAGTTATTTGGTTAAAAAGTCACTATGGTCATTTGAAAATAAGCCTAGATGGATTGTCATCTGGGCAGACACAGACTGCTGGTAGATTGTGTTCAATCGGTTATTTTCTTTTTCACCTTGAACATTTAGTACCATGTAAAGTGTTTGGAATATACCTGATGGGCTTTTATTATTTGGAGACGTAAGTTAAAGATAATTCCATTCACGTGCAAGTGCTTGGAGGCCAGAGGTGGACACTGGGCATCCAGCCCTGTCACTCTCTACCTTATTCCTGGGGACCACATTTCTCCCTGAGCCTGCAGCTTGATTGGCAGGTGGCAAGTCGAATGGCTCCTCCTGTCTCCGCCCCCTGCAGTGCTGGGTTTATAGCTGTCTGGGAGGCCATGCCAGCTTTTTAGGTAGATGCTGAGGATTTGAACTCGGGTCCTCAAGCTTTCATTACAAACACTTTTCCTCCCTGAGCCACCTCCCCAGCTCCTAAAGTACCTGCTGTTTAGTGATCATATTAAAGAAGTTTGTTTTTAATAACTTTTCAATATCAGCTCATTAAAAAAATTCTGAATAAAAGTTGAAGCAGGCCAGGCACGATGTCGCACTCCTACAGTTTGAGAACTCAGGAGGCAAGGGCCAGAGGGTCAAGAGCTCTAGGCCAGCCTGGGCTACGTAGCAAGACCCTGACTAAAAGAAACAAAGGGGGAAAAGAAGTTGAATTAGGTATAAGGGAATTCAGAAAGGACTCTTTCATAATGCGGAGAGCATAACATGTCCTATAATTACTGGTTATCGGCTTAGAAATATTTGTATGCTAATAAGAATTGAGTAAAACAGACTTCCCCAAACAGAGAACCAGACCCCTTTGAAATGTAAACTGAAATTGGACAATTAACTACTTAAAGCTTAGATTTCATCTGAGGGGAAAGCAATTCTTGATAAACCTGAAGCAGAAATTTTTACCTTGCTCTTCCAGCTAGGACTAGAGTAACGGGATAAAGATTAACAAGGTCACTCGGCTTGTGTGGGCGAGAGAAAAGCCTGAACTGCTCGAAACAGGTTACTTACTCTTCCTTTTTACCAAGGTGTGGTGGTCCACCTTTGCATTTATTTATTTTGTTAAGCAAAGGGTTTATTTATTTATTTTTTATTATCTGGGAAATTCTAAAATGGAAAAGTGTAAAGGAAAAAGTGCAAAATAGCCAGGCATGGTGGTGTATACCTTTCATTCCAGTACCCAGAAGTCAGAGGCAGGGGGATCACTCTGAGTGTGAAGCCAGCCTAGTCTACAGGCCAGTCAGGGTTATAATGAGACCATGTTTTAGTCAGGATTACTATTGGATGAAACACTATGACTGAAGCAAGTCGGGGAGGAAAGGGTGTATTTGGCTTACACTTCCCCAGCACTGTTCAACATTAAAGGAAGTCAGGACAGCAACGCACACACCGGGCAGGAACCTGGAGGCAGGAACTGATGCAGAGGGCACGGAAGGGAGCTGCTTACTGGCTTGCTCCTCACGGCTTTTTCAGCTGCTTTCTTATAGAACTCAGGACCACCAGCCCAGGAGTAGCATCACCCACCGTGAGCTGGGCCCTCCCCCCATCAATCACTAATTAAGAAAATGTTTCACAGGCTTGCCTACAGCCTGATCTTACAACTGAGGTTCCCTCCTCTCCGATGACTCTAGCTTGTGTCAAGTTGACATAAAACTAGCCAGCACACCCTATTTCAAAAATTAAAAAAAGCAAATTATACACATACCATGCACACACACACACACACACACACACACACACACACACACACAGAGAGAGAGAGAGAGAGAGAGAGAGGTGGATATTATTTTTCTTTCGGTCTTTTCTCCTTGTGACTCTAATATGACAACTATGCAACTGTATGTACCCCTGTAGGTGGCCAACTCAAAACTTAAGGCAGAGAGCCATCAAGGACTTCCAGACAAAAGATGTTTTTTAGGGCTGTGCTAAAGCAGCTGCCTAGTGTGTGTCAGGACCTAGGTTCAATTTCTAATTTCTAGAATCCTGTCTCCCAGAAGAGATTTTTTAATACAATCAGGGAGGGGGGCATCCTACTGCTCCCTCAGTTTTTCAAGAAGCTAGATGTGTCCTCAGGGTACAGGAATAGATGGTCTGCCTTGGGGATAGGTTCCCAGGACCTTTCCTCCAAAGCTAATGGAACTAGATTTGCCCACGGGTGCTGGTAAGTCTGTAATAGGGAATCAGATTTTCCCAAGGGAATGTCCGCTGGCAGTGTATGCCTGGAGAGTAGCTTTGTGCTCTTTGTAGGAAAAGGGCTGTGGAGGGAGGTGCGCTGCAGAGAAGCCCCACTAATATGTATAGAGGTGAGCATGCATGCATGCATGTGCTTCTCCTGGACTTAGGGACACCTTGGAAAGAAACGAGATCAAGTCATTTTGACCCCAGAACTCAACTTCTTAAACTGTAGGTCACAACCCCATCATGTGGGGGTTGTATTTAAAAAAAAGGCAGTGGTAAAAGATTTCTGAATGCTCAAGGAGAGAAAATCAATTCAAAATCAGATACATAGTGAGTGTGTGCAGGCCATAGTCCATGTTGCATATGTGTGGCTTTACTGCAGCCATGAACGCAGAACACAGCAACACATCACACCTCTTATACATATACCACATGGTACCAACAAACATCTCAGCTCAGATTAGAGACTCTTGCATGTTATGTATGTGTTTTTGCTATGTATACAGTTGCCAGCTCTTGTAGAAACAGTGGCCTGATTTTGGTAAACAAAGACTTCCAGCGTTTTCCTGCCATCATTCCTCAGGGTACAAGTGTCAAATTAGTTTAACTTTTGTATTGTTTTATGTCTGAATGTACAGTTTTAACCATACTGTTTATGTGGCTGACTTGCATTTCATAAAACATTGTTAAATACGTTTTTGTTTGGGATTGGACAGAATTTCTAATTCCTGAAAAGTCCTTAATATATACTTCTGCCATTTTTGTACTGTGTGTTTCTGTGAACTAGTGTTCTCAGCACTGATGATTATAATATCAAAATCTCAGTCAATTCTGGAAGATATTGAAGATGTTCTAAATCCCGTAATATCAAATAATCAGAAAAGATGCAATTCTTCATGTGAAAATTAACAAGTGCATCTGTCTCATTATCATGCAAGTTTGCTTTAGTCTTTAATAAAAAGTAAATATATATACCTATCAAAGAATTGCTTTAAAATGCATTTCTTGATGAATTATTGTCAGTAAATATTTGATCTGTAGAAGTATTTTTATATACCTATGTACTTGGGTTTCATGTAAGTATTTCTTGGGTGAAAAGGGGTCACATGTGGAAAATATAAGACACAAGTATGCCTAGGTTTCCAGGGGGGAGGCTCTCTTGCAGCTAGCTACTTCTCTGGCAGTGGAGTCCTGTGTCTAGGTGTCATGTGGGAAGTTTGACAGGGCAGCAGCTGAGGTCTGCAAGGGGCACCAGCAGTGTAACCTGTAGACAGACAGGCTGGCAATTCAGTCACCAGACCGTGGACCTGTTTCTTCATCCCCTGTGTGCCCCCCCCCGCCGCCCCCGCCGCCCCCTCAATCCTGAAAGAGCCTGAGCCTAGGAAAGGGAGGAGGGAAGCTGGAGTAGTGCTGGGCTGGGAGGGAAAGGGAATGTCACAGACAGGTGAGTGAAGTCTCCCAGGGTGGAGACTGGCCTGAGGTGTAGTCTCAAGGGGTGACGGGAAGTTGGGGGGACCCTCTGGCTGTCACTGGGTGGGGGGGACAGAATGAGGCGGCGCCTGCTCTTCCTCTCAACTCTCATCTTTCTCAAACAATGATAATGTGTTTGTAATTAGAAAGTCAACAAAGTTCATTAACTGCTTACCATGTGCCCTGAGTTCAAACTATTTAATAAATGAGCCATTAAACTGCTTTATCTTTTTCTTAAAAAAAATGCTATTAATAGTTGTGAGAGAAAGGATGAAGAAAGTAAACATCTGCTTACTGTCTAGAGATTTCAGTGTGGGTGTGCTTTGCTGTGCTTCCCTCCCCCTCTCCCTTTCCTCTCTTGTTTTGTTTTTAGACAGCATTTCACACTATATCCCATAATGGTCTAAAACTCATTATAGAGTCCACAGGCTGGCCTGAAACGCGAGGCAATCCTCCTACACCAGCCTCCCAAGTGTTGGCAAGACAGGAAGGAGCGGCCATAACCAGAGACCTCCTCTTCTCTTTTTCTTTCTTACACACACACACACACACACACACACACACACACACACACACACACACACAGAGAGAGAGAGAGAGAGAGAGAGAGAGAGAGAGAGAGAGAGAGAGAGAGAGAGAGAGCTGCAATTTCTACAATAGCACTGAAAAAAAAGATGAATGATATATGATATACATATATTATGAGGACAACTCCCTTAAAAAAGACATAATTTGCAGATTGCATCATCTATCTTCATACAGGTATTTGACTGAGTTATCAATGAGTATAAATACTCAAATAAGTATGCTACCCAGTAAGCTTTAAAATAGTCTATCTAGGGTCTGGAGAGACGGCTGCACAGTTAAGAGCACTTGCTGCTCTTGAAGAGATGAGTTCATTTCCCAGTACCCCGCATCACAAACTGCCTATAACTCCACCTCCAGGGTGTCCAGTGCCCTCTTCTGGCATTGTGGCCACTAGCATGCGCATGCACGCAACCACACACACACAAATAATAAAAATAATGACTGAAATAGTGTACTTAAAATAGGTTTCAACGAGATACCCCACCCTCACCGCTTCACTGTCTCAGTCATTCAGCCCACGGATTCCAGAGAATTCATATGCTTGAGAGTATTGTCTTATGTGAGAGGATCCTGGCAGCTGTACGCAGCAGGGGGCTTTTCAATGCCACCTTTATTCGGGTGAACTCAAGAAGCACCCGCTGATGGACAGATCACAAAACGCGCTCTTTCTTGGCTTACAAAGTTTGCGATTCAGGGAGTTTAGAGAACCTGTGATTTCTCTCTCCTGTCCTCTCAATGTCACAGATGAGAAAAAAGATGACACAGTAAATACCTTGTCAAAGGTCACAGAACTACTTAATCCAACACCAGGTTACCACTGAGGCCTTCCCTGGGATGTTGATTCTCCTTGCTCTGTGCTCCATTCCTCAGCCAATGTTGTGAGTGACCTCCAGTGCTCTGGGCTTGTTTTTTCTTTAGACTAAAGACAGTGGCAGTAGTCACAGTTGTTACTTTAGGCATCCCGTGGAGTGTGCTCTCTGGGATCGTCCAGTTTCATTGTCCTGTATTTTTGATAAATAATTAGAGAAGAGATAATGTTGATAAGTTTGTTATTTATTATTATTATTATTATTATTATTATTATTATTATTATTATTGTGTGTGTGTGCGTACACGTGCCTGTGGAAGTCAGAAGACAGCTTTTAGGAGTCAGTACTCTCCTTCTACAGGAGTTTCCAGGGATCAAGTCCAGGTCATCAGGTTTGTATGGCAAGCACTTTTATCTGAGCCATCTCAGAAGCCTAAATCACAGTTTCATAAAAATAATCTCTCACATCCTTTTGGGGATTATCTCTCTCTATGTATGTATGTGAGAGAAAGATTCATTTTTGTACAAATCTGAAGGCATTCAGATAATGAAGTAAGAGCTGAGGCATCTCTCTTTCTTTCCTTCCTTCCTACCTAGTCCAGGCTACCCTCAGACTTATGATCCGCCTGCCTCTGAGTGTGGGAGGAATACTCTATGTATCTAGCCCACTGAGCATCCTGCAGTGAAGACAGAGATGGATTCAGGTAGGTGGTCAGGAGATACTGAGACCGGTCCATGATGCCATTCTACCAATGTCGTCTCAATGTGTACTAAGAGTCTGACCTACAGTGGGCAGGTTTTGGGAAGCAGTTATCAATCATTAAACACTGACATGATTCCTGCCTGCATAGAGCTTTCTCTCCTGTGGAGAAGACACATCTCCCCTGATTATACAATTTAATATCATTACAGTCACAATAACATCTCCATGTGAGGCACATCTAGGCACTTTCCCATCTTCACTTATTTAATGGTCATCAAGGAAAGTCAACAGAACAGTGAGGTGTGGGGGTGCTCAGTCACTGTTGTAAGTTCAAGGCCAGCCTGGTGTTTATAGTGAGTTCCAGGTCAGCCAGGGCTATGTAGTAAGTCCTTGCTTCAAAAGAAAACAAATGAAAACCAGTAATAAAACCCTCAATTGAACAATACCAAGTGATTTTATTTATTCATTTATTTTTGGCAGTACTGGGGAGTGAACCTAGGTCTTCAGGAAGGCCAGGCAAGCACTCCACTACTGTGCTATACCCCAGCTGTCTTCTTCCTGCTCCTTTCGGGACAAGTTCTCATGAAGTTGTTTAGATTGAACTCTGCAGTCCAGACATGACTAGAGTTTATAATCCTCCCATCTTAATATCCAAGGTAGCTGGGAATATAGGAGTGTGCCACCAGGCCTGGCTCTAAAACATGTGATTTAGGGGCTGGAGAGCCAGCCCAGGGGATAAGAGCATTTACTGCCCTTTTGAAGGACTTGGGTTTGGTTTTCCCCACCCATATCAGGTGGCTTACAACAACAGCTCCAGGAGATCTGATTCCCCTGGCCTACATGAGCACCCATATGGTACATAAACTCATGCGGGTTCGTGTGCACACACACATACATAAAAATAATAAATCTCCTAGCTAGGCAGTGGTGGTGTATGCCTTTAATCCCATCACTCAGGAGGCAGAGTCAGGCAGGATCTCTGAGTTCAAGGTCAGCCTGGTCTACAGAGTGGTCTACAGTCTAGAACTACAGAGTTCTAGGACAGCCAAGGCTACACAGATAAATCCTGTTGGTTGCTGAGCTCTGTTTCTCACAGGCTCATAGCTCCATGTCAGTCATTAGGTAAGGAGATAGGATAAAACGGTGCTTGTCCCTTGGGAAGAACCCTGAAGGGGAGCTTCGACCTTTCACCTAAATCATTCCATTCAGTGTCCTATAAAGACCCAAACTTCAAAGTCAGTGTTGAAGAGCTGAGGCATTTATCCGAGTCATGTCCACCCAGCTTTTTTTTTTTTTTGGTAAAGCTGCGATCTTGAACTTAGGACTTTGGAAAGCTCAAATTTGAGTCCAGGTTCTCTCTCTCTTAGTAGCTGTTTGTTTGGGCACCTCTCTGAGCCTGAGTTTCTTCACCTCCAAAACTTTGAAAATGGGTTGGAGCGAAGGTTAAAAACAAAGCACGCAGAGCTAACAGGCGCTTACTGTTTAGTAATGAAACCTATTCTTATTTTATCTTCCTCTTAAAAATTCAGTAAAATAATCCATGCAATTAATTACATGCTTCAGACAGCTTTGCATCTTCTGGAGACAGGCCATATATAAAGCCACTTGGTTATAAGTATGCAAATGTAAATGTCACTTAAGCTTTTTAATTTTTTCATTTATCAGGGTGTCTCTCTACCTAGGTAAGTGAAACCTTATCTGTTTGAGTGTGCCAGGGTACCCTTGCTGTATTCACAGTTTAATGAAGAGTAGAGGTGATAGCTAAATGCCTAGCACATGTTGGCTCTTGAGCCAAGTCGCTGGCAGTTTTTTCCTTCAGAAGGCCTGAATTTTCCGTGTGCATGATCCCACTGATGCTTGCCCTGTGGTGGGACACAGTGAACTACCTCATAAACCAAGGAAGGATCTAGCAGAATCTATGAGTAGTAGTAGTAATACAAATGCATATTAAAGTAAAACAGCCAAATGCTGTTTGACTTTGGTGATCAAGAAACAAGTATGTTTTTGTCATGGAAGTAGTGTGTCTATATTAGATAACAATGGACTTTCTGATTCATGCTAGACGGAAATGTCTTCATGTGTTGACATCTTACATATGATGGTAGTTGTTTTCTGGTTTGGATACAGAGCTCATGTAGCTCAGGCTGGCCTCAAGCTCACTGAATAACTAAGGCTGGCCTTGTGCTCTTAATCCTCTTGCCTCCACCTCCCTTATACTGGGATTGTACCACATGCTTGCTTTTCCTGTTGTTGTACGTGTGTGCATGCACATGCTTCTGGAGATCAGAGGTCACCACTGGGAATCATTTCTCCATTCCTCAGGCATGCCATCCATCTTGTTTGTGTATTTACTTATTTTTTTAGGTAGGTCCTCCTGGCCTGGAGTTCACCAACTAGGCTAGGTTGGCTGGGTAGTAAGTCCGAGGGATCTGACTGCCTCTGCCTCTCCAGAGGTAGGGTTACAGGTGTTAGGTCCAAAGTGGCCCCCCAAATGGCAGTGATGGTGACATTGTCCTACAGAAAGTCTGTTACCAGGCAAACAAACATAAAAGCAGGTTTCTGTTGACCAGAAAGGCAGATTTCCTAAGGAGGGTTCTGTTTACCAGTAACCAGCCTTAATTTCCCCTCAAAATCAACTACCTTGGGCAAAGGCACCTAGTTCCTAGTCAGTCTAGACTGTTTGTGACTGTA